TTGTTTTTTTCTGAATTCGTATTGCGATTTTAATTAAATCAAATTTGTTCAACATAAATTCATTATATTGGCGATGTATTTTTATAATATGAGAAATTACTGGTCTATATTTTCCTACATCTTAGTCCATCCGGAATAACTCCTGTAATGAATATACCATTTCATAGTTGTAGTAAAATGTCATTGATTTAATATGAATTGCCTAGGATGTCTCTTAAACGTATCTTTTCTATTCCTGCCGTTCGTTTTTAGCGACATGGTGCTTATGCTGCCGCGTAAATCTGCTTCCGTCATCAATGGAGGATATGCAGAATGCAAATTTTGCATCTGCCGTGAATTTCCGGTGTGCATCTAGTAGCTAATAATAGACCGCAGGTCCGACACATTCTTCGCAAATTTTCTACTAAATGATACACATAGCAAGAAAAGATCGACTGATTCACCAAAATGTCTTGCGATTATGTCATCAATATTTGGTGTTGTCTTCCTACCTATTAGCTCATTTACTATGTTTCACGTTTCTTTTGTACTAATTTTCATGGATTTCAATTTTGCTACATAGTAATTCCGCTTTGCCATTCTAAGCTTGGCTGTTAGTTTCTTTCTCATTGATCGAATGTGTCCTTTTAAATATTAATTTCCATTTTATTTACACGTTGTCCATAGTTTATCTTTGATATAATTTAGCTTTAATATTTGTGAGTCGACAGAATACTTTTCCAGATTCCTTTGTTTGAGCATAATTTGTTTGCTCGATTTGTCTTGTCATATATAATATTAAATTTTGTTACCATATACTCGTACAAGTAGGTATGGGAATAGTGTGCCAAGGAAATGCAATCAAACTGAGAATAATTTGTGAACCATCTTATTGTTGATTATGCTTATTTCTTTAACCTTATTTTTTACCTGTACTGGCATTTTTATTAGGGCGTGGCCGGGAGTAAAAGAATGATGAGATAACTTTTTTTTGTTGTTTTACACCAGCCATTGTCGAAATGTCATCAAATCTAGCCAATACATAATCAATATTCAATGCAAGTTTTTGTTATCTTGTTTCCAAGACGTTACTCTCTGGTAACATCTCTAATCATGTTGTTTTCACCGAACGGAGGAATTGATAAAAAAAACCTGCCGTGTTTGAAAAATTCATATTGTGGCACAAGATCAGTATTTCCTAGCTACAGTGATATTAGTTACATTTAAATAAAATAAATATGACCTATACTAAACTTTGTTTAACATTTTTTTTGTATATTTGGCCCACAGCAGAACTACCTGATGTGAGTGTGTACACTGGGTGACATTGTAGACATTAACAAACTATTAAATTTTTTTTTAATTTTAATGTTTGCTATCAACACTGTTAGTGCGGTAGAATATGCTCATACGGGGCTCAAACTTATGCGATAAAAGTCTGACGCTGTTGAATCCTTTCTCTAAGTAAAATTCGAAAAATCGCTTCGCGCTATTTCTGTTGCACGGTGTACCGCCTGCGTGAGAGACGCCTAAAACCTTGGCAGCACGAGTGCTATTAAATATATTATAACAACCACCGTATATAATAATTTATTCGAGGTGAGCTTTTTTACGTGTCAGTCAGTAGAAGATTGAGTTTTTTTCCCTCGGACCGGAACAAAAATGGGTGAGCTTTTTTCCGGCGAGCTTCTCTCCGGTGAACTTATCTCCACTGAGCTTTTCTGTAGTTATATTTTCTCCGGGATTGAAAATTTCAATTCATGAACGTAGCCTAGTTAAAAAGTAAGAAATTATGAATGCCTTTTCTTTACTTATTTCATCCGTCTGCAAACGGTGCACGCCTGGCTGGCGCAACAGCCGGCAGATTAGGTCAGAAAAACTAGCAATCGCCATAAGTTTGTCTTTTATTGTTTTCAAATTGAAGCATGCTTTTGAGATAATTACCCCGAAACAAAAGCGTGTTTTGGAACGTTTTTAACCCAAAACGAGTCTCGCTGCTCGGATATTGTGCTAAACTGTTTTTTATATGGAACCCTTATATTGCGACACGTGTCCTATCCATGCACATAGATAATATTATTTGGGAGTTCGGTGTTCCTCCAACACAATGCTTTCTCCACCATCCTGACGTTAATTGTGGTAAGCAAGTAGGCAGCCATGTTTGGAAAGCGTTGCTGGGCAACACTGCAAGCTCACAATTCGTTACAACACTTAGGGGAGAGTGGTAAGGAATGGGAGGGCGGGACGAGTGGGACATGGGTTATATTTCTCCACTGCAAACCTTCACACATTTGACTTTCTGATCGACAGGGGACACGTCTGTGGCGGTAGTTCCGGTCGTAATGGTTGACCTGTTCGGCGTGGTGTTCCCGTTGTTAGCCGACAATTGACTTTTCGTTAATGAAAAGTAGCACACACTCGTTTTGCTTGATTCTTGAACCAAAAAGGCCTGGTGGACACTTGTAGTAATTTGACCGCGAAAAGACGTGTGGATAAGGTACTTTACACAACCGCTATATTATAACAACCAACTGGGCCCGTTTGCTCGAAGCGCTAACCGTGACGAAAGTTAGCCGCAGTACCTAGGAGAGGGATTCTGAGATCACGTGACTGGCTCGGTAGGGATGCGGGGAAACGTGGCGGTGCCCTGGTGAGTGAGCGCCGGTCGCTTTGTAACTGATATGTCGTTGTAGCTGCAATATCGGGCGCGTAAGTCCGCAACGAATAATGCAGGAGGCTTTCGCTTTGCCTTACCCCGCTTCAACCGCAAAGCATGGGCAATGACATCGCCGCATTTTTAGTTAGTGTTTCGATTCTGGGCATTCCTAAGCCTAAATGAACGCGATAATTGTCGGCATGACAACGTCTTTGGAAAGCGGATTGTTGAAAGCACACAAAAGCAGACAGCGTCCCGACAGACTTTTTTCTAAATTATCCAAGCATCGCGAGGAGAACGCTGGAAGTGTAATTCTACGGTTCACGCGCGATCGCCTTCCTCTTATAAAAGATTTGAAGTAAAAAATCATAATAAGGCTTTAACGAACGCGCGTGCAAAGCAAAATTTGTTTTATACTTTTTGCTTTAGAATGGTTACTACTGCAGACGCCAGCACGTGCGACGCGTGCAACTACAGTTGTAGCATGCACCTCGGTGCTTGGATAATTTAGAAAAAAAGGTCTGTTGGGATGCCGTCTGCTTTTCTGTGCTATCAACAATCCGCTTTCCAAAGACGTTGCTATGCCGACAATTATCGCGTTCATTCAGGCTTAGGAGTGCCCAGAATCGAAACACAACTAAAAAATTCGGCAATGTCATTGCCCATGCTTTGCGGTTTAAGTGACGTAAGGCAAACCGAAAGCCTTCTGCACCATTCGTTGCTGACTAACACGCCCGATATTGCAGCCACAACGACATATTAGTTCCAAAGCGAGCGGCGCTCACTCACTGGGGCACCGTCATGTTTCCCCGCATCCCTACCGAGCCAGTCGCGTGATCTCAAAATCCCTCTCTTAGGTACTGCGGCTAACTTTAGCCGCGGTTAGTGCTTCGAGCAAACGGGCCGTGGTTGTCGTTGTAAGCATCGTACATTGTGCGAAACACTTTGCGAGGAATGGGACAGCGAGGTGGAGGGAGGTAAGGGACACTGTCCCACTCCTCCCTTCGTCAAGACTTGTGCTTCCACTCGCAGATCAATATTATGGCTAACTCGAAATACATTTTAATTATCTTCTCATTTGTTTGTATTGAATTTAGGTGTGTAATTATTAGTTTTATCAAAATTGGACTGCGCTGCGAAACCTCAGTGGCTCTTTTAATAACTTTTTCTGAGACGGCATGCTCTTGTATTTGGAAACGTACCTTTGCACATAGACGTCTGTAGGAATAATTTATTCAGAAATATTCAAAATATTGACTTATTAAGGCAAAACTGAACTTCTTATTACTGAAGTAGGTTTATTTATTATTTAATTTGTTTCCTAACTTTCAGGAAGATGCGAAGGAAATTGAGTAGGAAACATCAGGAGAGAGCTCCAGCCTCAAAAATCGTGACATCTGGGGTAGTGCGCAGAGTGCCACGAAAAGAAAAAAAAATACGGGACGTGGCCCGAGCTCTACATATATTAAAATTGTCACTTGCTTGTCATGTAAAGAAATACAAAACCAGTGGTAACCGGACAGTATCGTCTTCAAGCCCAATCTTGTTTCCGGTTCGGTCTTCACATCAGATAATGAAAAACACTTGAGAGACTACTTTTTTACAGCAAGTCAACAAAAGCAATGTGAATGCTTTTATCTGCAACCTGAAAAGGCTTTACGATCCCCACAAATTCACACCTGACCGTACCTACAACTGCGATGAAACTGTTTTTTTTTTTTTTACCGAGCACAATTTACCGAAGGATACGCTATGAACGAAATAGGTAACACCGTGCTTCTGGTGTTAACCTTCCCTAGAGTTAGATATAAAGATTTATTTCTCGACGGCTCTTCAGCGTGAAGTTTGTGTTTATCTAGTCGATCGGAATGGATGTCCGTGGAACTGCTTTCACTGCCACTGGAACACATTGTGAGACAAAAACTGCTCGTAAGAAGACCTCATCCTCTTAGTTCTCGACAGTCGCAAAAGCCATTTAAGCATCGGCGTTATCAACAATTGTAATTCGTTTCTCTGAGATACACTCCAAAATAGGTAAGTGCGCCGAACACAGTGTCCCCACACCTTTACGCGAGCAAGCATGCCATCTTGATTACAAGATATATCAAATGCATAGATGATGAGGATTTATGAACAGGGAAATCGCTATGCTATGCAAACGATATATCTATGTGTTAATTTTTCAGTATTATAGTTGAATAGAATAGTCGAATATTTGGTGATATTTTTAAATATTCAATTAAAGCCCCACACGAGCTAAGAAATATGGGCTGTATGAAGCCATAGCACAGTTGCTGGTGATTTTCTTTTCATAAAATAATAAGAAAAGCTTAGATAATGAATCACCTTATTTCTAAAAAGCTTACCTTTTGCGAATGTGTCTTTAAGCATTTTGTAAACAGTATCTGGGAACAAAAACAATACTTAATTTTGCGTTGTTTCCGAAGAAACAGCAATGAAGAGCAATGGTACACACATTTCTTTAATTTCTGTTGCCTCCGAATTTTGCCAAACACTAAATTTCAGCTTTACTTTCTTTGTAACAAAAAGTTCCGACAGCACCTGCCATAAATATTTGTTTTTGTTTCATTGAATTTTGGCATTCGTTTCATAAAAAATAGTATAGAATTGCTTGCTATTCCCATCTTGGGGCATAACATTTGGGTTTCTTAAAAAGCAACACAATCCAGCTGTTTACGCCCATTGGCCATCAATCACCCGTAATCGATGGATTTGACGCTCTGTAAAAATTTGAATAATTTGAGACGCAGAAACACGTTCCGCCATCTTGTGGATAGCCAAAGAAGTAAAGCTTAATTTTTTTATTTTGTTTTGAGCATTCTCCCCAATTGGCGTCCTATCGAAAACATGTTTTGCGTGACGGTGACACTTGTCGAACACGGCGTTCTGCTGACCTTAAGAGCGCTACAATAATAGCCACAATTTCACGACATAACTGTTTCTGTTGCTTGTTTGTTTATCACCGCAGCAGTGAAGACTTGATTACGTTGGATATATTGACTAGAGCTCCTACTGCGACGTTTCACCTCTGAGCTGTACAATATTGACGTGGTCGTTGGATAGTCATTCTAGCTTTCTTGGCTGATCTTAGCCGGGTGCACATTTTATTTTACCTCCATGCCATAAAACGAGCAAAGAAGGTAGCTAACTTCTATGACAAACTAAAGTTTTGTGCAAAAACAACTTCTGGAAGACATGCACCTCTGTATCCAACAGCGTCTTTAATGGCATGACGCCACAAAACAGGTTTTGTGACAGACCAAAAAAAGACAGTATATTTAGAGCTCTTTAACTTACAGTGTACTATAAGTTTTGAATTAAAAAATAGACTAGGTAAGATTTAACACAATCGCAAATGATTAAACGTTTTTCTAATCGTACAAGTTCGGAGGTCAGCATCTCAATTCGACTATTTGTTTCGATATTGGTGTAAACCTTTTTTTTAACGGGCATTGTATTGCCGGCATTCTAATGTATAACAATTAGCTATATATGTTTAATAGTTCTTAGACTAAACTATGTTTTGCCAATGTCTTAAAATTCCAACCTTTTTCTGTGGTACGAGAGGGGTGAATAGAAAATAGGCAAAAGCCTAGATCAGATAAGCATGAGAATATAAGCGTACTTTTTCGACAATAGTTTGGAAATGTTAATCCCTTTATTGCATTTTTTGTTGTTTTACTTTTGTACAAAAGATGTTTATAATCGAGATAAGTCAACACCGCACCTTAATCAACTTTAACTATTCTAACTACTTGGAACCATAAATGAGAAACAATTTTTAATGATAGCTTTAAGCCTCTGTTAGTAATTTTGCAATATTTGTTACGAAACAAGAAGACTTGCTAAATGTGCGACCGAAATTCATTCATAAGGTACCACACTTCATTTTAAGCTGTCGGAAGATTTTTGGAAATAAGTCATAGAAGTCCATCCTCATTAGCACAAGATATACTGACCCAGACCGTGCAATCCAAACTTGACCTTTCCTGGAAGAGCAAAAATAAGATCTATTACTTTCTTGAAACTCACTAAAGAAAGCTTGGACATGAGACATACCTTCGTTAAAGTATGGGGTATAAATAGTCAGCATCAGAACACTATAATTTAGTTTGAAATTTTTTTTAACTGCTTAAGCACTTATGTCTTTTTTCTCCTTAGGTAGCCAATGTGATTTACGGAGCTGACAGGCACCGAGAGTTTGACGTTCAGCTTTACTGATGGGTGTAGAAACCCAAGGAACACACTGTCCAAAGGTGTCGTGCAGCGCTCCAAGTGCTGGCCCTCGCATGACGCATAGCATTTGCTATGGAGAGTTCGATGTCAGAACTTGGGCCAAGTAAAGTTTTGGATATTTCTGTCTGTCTTGCCCACACAATTATTTCTTTCTTCCCAACATGAATTGTGTTATACTTTGTCACTGGAAATATTTTTTGTGCAGAAGACGGCTAATTAAAAAAAAAGGATTATAAGGAATTCAATAAAATATGGCTTCATACCAATGGCAACATGTACTTCTTGAGGAACGTCACGCCCTGCGGATGCTGTAACACGAGAATTATTTAGAATACTCGGCGCAGAACAAACGACAGAAAAAGCCACCACCACGCATTTGGGTTAACTGAAAGTTGTTACAAGTTTAAAAACTTCTCTGGCACTAGTCACTGGCCATTGCGATAACTTAACCTAAATGTTAACAAAATACTGAAGGTAAATATTTATAGCAGAATCTTTTAATGCGCTACCGGTCACGCCACTTTCCGAAACGCTATGTGAGAGCTTAGTACGCAAGGCGCTAGCGTTGACAAGGAGGCTAAGAGCCACCAATCTTGCCAGTACCGTTTTGACTCTGGCAACCAGAAAGTGGGATTGCAATTTGAAACCCACTCTGAATGAGTCACCGATATATCGCGGTGAATCGTCATCGCGCTGTCAGAATTCCCCGTTAAGATAAGAGTCTTCAGTTTTGTACACCCAGTCAATTGCACAAACTTCATTTTCTCCAAATTCTCCAAAAAAACATCACTTCATTCTTTCTCGCCTCAAAATAAATTCTCAAAATCAATTCACCATCAAAATTCAGCTCCGCGAGTATCGCAGCCAAGTAGAGGCGCTGCGAACCTGGACACTCCATACAGTTACTCTAGTACACTGAGCTGCCTGGCTCTCTCGCTTCCATAGCATTATATTTGTTTGTTTAAAAAGAAATGAAAATAGATTAGTTGTAAGTTCCATTATTAGATATCATCAAAGCATGATCTTCGCTTGCATACCTTGATTTATTGCAGTTGTAAAAAAATGTCGGTGTATGATCAATTGTTTGCTAAACCTACTTGCCATTGTACATTTGGGGTGGCTCACTGATTTTGGGGTGACCTAGCAAAATCCACCCCCCCCCCCCCGCAACAGTAGAGAACCTGGCGGTGGCTGTCGTCCCTGTACGAAAATTCGGACGAACTTTCGTCGGCTTATAATATTGTGGCCATGTACAGAAGTTTTTCGGCGTTTAGTTTTCGCTGAAAATTCGGAGTTTATGGGTGTTTTCTTTTAATTCCCCATTCTCCGAAATCCGTACTTTTCTTATCAGTATGATATTTTAAAGGAAACTGAAGTATCCTCTCCTCAGGAGCACCGATGTTCACAAAAAAATTGGTTTCAGAATTTATTCATAATGTATACCGTCTCTTATGCTTGTGTCATTTGTCGTTGGCAGTGCAACAAGAATGCTTGGTGTTATATCTCGTATTACGAAGCACTTTAATAACCCGGCTTCCTTGGTTCGGTTATTTTGTGCCCTAGTCTGGTCTAGACTTGAATTTGCTTCAGTAGCTTGGAATGCGTTAAATAAAACTCAGGCATTGAACATTTAAAATGTACAGAAGAGGTTAATACGCATTGTGTATGATCGATATTCTCATCGTCACTTCTATTTTGATTATGAATTTCTTCTTAAAAAAGTTTCGTCGACAAACTTGTCCGATAGAAGAGCGGAACGTGACTTAGTCTTTTTTCATAAGTTAGTAAACGGTGTATCTGATTGTGGCTCGCTTTTAAGTGATGTTAATTTACATGTTCCCTCCCGACCCACTAGAAATCATAGTACTTTTTACATTAATACTGTCTGTGATCTCTCGCCTTTATCACGCTGCCAAGTGCTTTTTAACCGCATCAACAATACTGAAGTGGATATATTTAGCGACTCTCGGGTGTTCGCGATGAAAATGAAAGTGCTTGTTGCCAATTTGTAACGTTTGTGTATTTTTGCCATGTCTCTGTTATTTTAATTCCTCATTTATTATGTGTACCAAAGAAAAGACCTGTTGGTTGTTTTTGGGCACTTGAAAGTAAATATTTATTATTTATTTATTATTATTATTTCGCCATCATAAATTCGAAATTCAGATTTTCCTGATACATCCCAACTTACAAAAAATTTTCCTGCGAGCGTTCCAAAAACTTTTTTCTCGGATATATCTAAAAAAGATGAATCCCCGCGTATAGGTAATAAATTCCACAACTGTCACCAAGTAAGTGCTCTTTTTGGAGCATACTCGCAATGAGTCATCACCGCGCACGCCCATGCTTCTTTCGCTGGTGCTCATAGATGAAGGGCGTGTGCGGCATCTGCTGTGCATTGATTTCACGGCAGCGCTTTATCGTTTTCTCGGGCGCGTCAGTGTTCTTGGCGCTGATTTTAACCTGCTTGTGGCAAAAGGTGTTAGCGCCTTCAAGTGCGATTCATGCACTAAACGTCGGAGCGAAGAGACGTCGATCCTAAAAACCGCGCCGTCTGCCCCGTCGGCTGAGGGTAGGGATGGGTAACCAAAGGAATCGCCGTTGGAAAGCTGTAGTCTTCGTGAGCTGGTACAAAACCTCTGCTGCAAAATTGATGATCTGTCCGAGGAGGTGCGGGATTTACGAGTTCAGAACAAATATCTGCGAATGCAGCTTACGCATACAGCGAAATGCTTCGGAAATAACTTGCTACTGAAGAACCTGGCCAGGCCCAAGCGCGGCAGAGTGAGCCGGCACCATCGTACTATAGAGCGCTGCAACCCAATGCTTCTTTCTCTTCGGCGACCACAGTTCGGCCCACGGTCTTTGAGGCCTCTGAACATCTTCTGGAGGGTGAAATCCCCACGGTGTGTTACCCCCAGTGTGGCGAGACATCTTCTGAATGACGAGCAGCGTCAGGGCCTACCCGACGTTCGTCGCGGATCAAGTGGTGTCGATGTGGGCATGACAGCGTTCTCGGACCAGCGAGGATACACGGTTGCCGACAACTCCAAGAGGTCGGTCCTCTCAGCTGTAGACGTAGACGGCTTCCAACAAGTCATGCTACACCGACGAGTCAAGGCTTCCGTCGGTTCGGCAAAAACCGGTAAGTTGCGTGTGGTGGCCAAGCCTCCTAAGAGGAGGGCTGTTTTTGTTTCTCGATTGCATCAAGAGACCACCAGCGACAAACTATTAGAAATTGTGTCTAGTGCCCTAGGATGCCAGAGCTTTTCTTGGACGAAACTGGCAGCTAGGTACAATATTATGCTTCGTTTCACGTGTTAGTTAACGCGGAGGACTTCGAGAAACTTCTTTATTTCGACTCGAGGCCGGAGGGTTGCCTTTTCCGGCCATCCTTACGCCAATTGAGGTTAGAAAACCGGCGTAGTGCTTTGAAGCCCAAGCCAAAGCAAGGTGAAGATTCTATTGCCCCTTTAGGTACCCAAACCTAAATGCTCGGAGTGCAACCAATGAATCGGTAGTGCTTGAAGGTGTTCTATCGACATTCAAATATTATGTGGTAGTTAAAACGGAAACTTTGCTGCACAGTCCAATACCTGATAATGATGTTTTCGCTCATGGTTTTAAAGTATTCCGAAGGAACCGTGGTTCAAGAGGGGTCGGGGTCGCTCTTTTGATCAGGTACACCATTTCATGCACACTTATTGAGCACGGCCAGGACTGTGAAAAGGTCTGGACCTTTATACGATTTGGTTTCCAATCAATGCTTGTAGGAACAGTATACAGACGTCCCCAGGCCAGTATTGATGCCTTACAGAGTTTATTCGAGTTTCTTCAAACTGAAACCAAACGCTTTTCACGTGTAGTAATGACCGGTGATTTTAATCTGCCAGATATAAATTGGAATTACGTGATGCCCAATGGTATATGCAATCAGTTTAGGCTCCTTGTTGATATTGTTTTCAGTAACTATATAAGTCAAGTGGTCACGTGCCCCACGCGTGTGTCAGATGGTAAGGAACCCTTGCTTGATCTCGTGTTTATATCTGAGGTTGTTACCAGAAGTGTTCTTGGCGTATCATTCGCGGATGGCATATCTGATCATGTAATTGTTGTATGTGACCTATCTGCACCTCAGGATGTGCACAATGAAACCGAAACAAAATATTATTGTAATTTCAAAAGGGCGAATGATATCGATATTGTAGACTTCTTGGAAGTAGCTCTAGACAGATTTCTTGTGTTTTAAAATGCGAACCCGGATTCAGTAGAAATGCTTTGGCTCTTTTTTAAGCAAGCCGTCCTTACATGTGTTAATAAGTTTATTCCAGAGCGACTGGCAAAAAGTAAGAAGCCCAATCCATGGGTGACGCGTGATATTTTACATTTATAGCGAACGATAAACCGAGTAGAAAGGTTCTAACCAAATTTATAATTTATGCTTCCCTCTCTTCGCCTTGAGCTACGCACTCCTGTGCGCACAATTAAATATTGTTACTTAACTTTCAAAATGTACAAATAAAAACAATTCAAAATAGTTTTGGGATCATTTGACAAAAAAGTTTGATAATTAGGGAGTTATTTAATTACAGGCAGACGTTTTCCAATGAAGCGAGCATCGCAAGTGAGCTTAATTTTTTTTCTTTTGTCTTCACTGTTGATAACTTTATGTTGCCTTAATTTAACCATGGCAGTTGTAAAATCAGTGACTTAGTGGTCTCTACAAAAGGTATTTTTCGCAGTCTTTTGCAATTATACACCAGAAAATCGACTGACCCGGATGGGATCCCTAACGCTTTCTTACGAAGGTAAGAAGTTTATTGACGTGATTTACTATTGCAGTTTAAAAACGCGTGGCGTGTCCCAAATTGGAAGGTAGCCAATATTGTCCGTATATATATAAGTGGACCGAAAAGGATTGTTTGCAATTACAGACCAGCGTCATTGTTGAATGCATGTAGCAGGGTTCTCCTACACTCCATATTCAAGGGCATCGTAACTTTCCTAGAATCTGAAACTTTCTTACTAGATTATCAACAAGGGTCCCTTTGAGGCTTTTTGACATTAACACAGCCTCTTCACACGGTAAACACTTTTGGTCCAGTGATTAATAACAGTGGTCACGTCGACGCAGTCTTCGATTTTGCAAGGGCGTTTGACAAGGTTTTGCATCACAAGGTACTGCATAAATGGAAGCAAGTGTTAGGCAATGATCGTCTACTGAGGTGGATAGACTCGTACCTCACGACTCATAAAACGTTTGTGTGCGTAAGAATGCCGAATGAATATAGTAACCTGTTCTCTTTGTAGTGCCACAGGGCTCGGTACTCGGACCGGTGCTTTTTTTGGCGTTTAATAATGACCTGCGAGTTGATAAGCCCTAGATACAGTGCAGTTTTTTGCTGATGATTGTGCGTTGGTTTTAAAGATATCTTTGTGTATCGAACGAAAATGCTTAGACGAGAATATTCAAATTATTTTTTCGCAGTGTCAAAAATGGGAAATGGATCTGAATGTCAAGAAATGTGTGGAAATGTCAGTTACACTGCAGAAGGCGTATCTCTTTTTTTGCTTATGCTATTCATTCAGAAGCCTTAGAAATAGTTAATGATAACAATTATCTGTGTGTTACTGTCACGTCCAACTTAAGCTGGGCTATTCATATTGAGCAGCTATCACAAAAGCGTCAAGTGAACTGCGGTCACTACGTAGGAAAATGCGTTACTGTACTTCAGCGACAAAGCTGACGGCCTATAAATTGCTGATTCGTCGTTTGCTGGAATATGCAGACATTGTATGGGGACTTACACTCACAATCGCTCATTCACCAATTGGAAGGCCTTCAGAAAAATCTCGTACGGCAAAGGTTCGCACGTGACACCGTTGTACACTGCCTCCGGCGTGTCTATATTATCATTTCGAAGGAAAGTGAGGCGTTGGAAATTTTCGCATAATATAATTCATTATAAAGTTGGTTTAAATATTGATGATTTTTCGCGGTATAACATGACTTGTGATATAAGGCAGAATCACGATGATTTGCTGCTTGAGTTCCGTTGTAAAAAATATGTTTTAAATACTCCGTTTTTCCTCGTTCTGTTTGTAAGCGGAATGAGTTGCCCCCAGGTGTCACGGCAATCGCGTCTACCGCTTAATTTGCAAGTATGGTTGATGTACGTTTTGTGTCACCAATGACTAAGCTACTTGTCAATTGTTGCATTTATTCGACTCATTGATCATTTCTGATGTTGTCTTATCATGCCTTGACCCTCAAAAGTTGGCCGGCAGTATTCACAAATAAATAAATAAATCAGTGCCTCGTTTCATTGAAAAGTAAATCTAGTGATTTGTTCTCATTTTTCTCCATCTCGAGTGCATCTGATTCGCCGCTGTAAATGAACAAATTGGTGAGTTCACTACGACCGCTAACGTGCATCGCGCAGGTGAAGCGAAAACACGCCGGCACGATGCTTATTCAGGTCAGAACGGACAGGAGGGAAGGTAGATGCCGAGATCGTCGACCTTTTTGATATGTCCAGAAGCAATAAAACCATATTTAAATTTTTTCCATCGTGAATGGAGGAAATTTGGCTACACAAAAGCGAAATCGCCTTCAGTTATTCGACATAAAATGCTACAAAGAGACTGGTGACACATTTCGCGATATCACAGCCACAGGTTTGTTGGGCTTGAACGAGTTGAGCTACCTTGCGAGGTCCTCCAATGACCATCAGAAGAGGCAAATTTTGCAACTGTCGGCAAAGTAATCAGCGTGGTTCCCATTCGTTGCATGAGACTTTCAGCAACGTATTGACATATTTTGAGCAGCATACACGGGCGGAATTGCCTATCTTCTTTACGTCATGTCTGCCTCTGCATTGCGGATGTGATCAATATCTCGAAGGAAGGGCGTCTTGTAGCCGACAAACGACAAGCCCATGGCATGGGTTCTTCTCGAGTACTGCTTCAGCTATAAGTCGCGGTCTGAGTGATTGAAAACGACTCGCAAACAAACGCTGACGCAGCACTCGTGTCCAATCTATAGCCAGTGCTGACTTCCGGTTGGGGGAGGGGCCATACGAAGACTTTTGGGAGGTCTGCTAGGTTGACCTTAAAAGGTGCCGCGCCAAGTAATAGAAAATTGATTTATTTAAGAATGCCGTTAAAGTTTTTTAGTTGTCACCCAAAGATACTCGAAACTTCACTTACGTGTTGCTTGAACGTCTTTCATTTTCTTGTAAAGGACATCTGTAATGAGAAACACAATGAATTCTTTTTAACGTTCTCGCGCCTAACCAACTTCAGGTATTCGGTAAGCTTCACGAGACTTTAAGACTAATTTATAAAACTGCGAATAACTTTCAATCGAAATCTGTATTACGCGGTGCCTTGTCTTCGAAAACCCGCTAAACGGCTATCCATAGGTTGGCAATTACCTTCGGTGCTATCGAAGCAGCTAGATACGACTAAGGGTTCAGTAACAAAAGGGAGGAATCACGATTGTGCCGTAACTTCTAGGAATTGTACCACTTAAAAGGAACAGAAAGCATTTAAGCAGTTCACAAATTTATGCATGTTTCTTCTCATATACCAATTATAGCAGCAGAAGGGTGCTTTGAAGGAGCCGTTGTACATATATTTACTGAGCAACATACAGTGATTTTAGGCAAATATACGAACTATGGCAACCATCCGATAACTTAAGAGTTATTTCAGTTGTCACTTACCAAAATTTGGTAATCCAGCTTGCAGTCTGTCTGGAAGAAACCAAATAAAGTCTCTAAGGACGAAAAACATTAAAGTTGCCCAGATTGTTTTCAGTGCATAGTTGCGGGCGAATCCCAGTGAAATTGCATCTTGCACTTTGGACGAGATGTTGAAAAACGATCCAAGAATAATGAATGTCCGAATAACTTTGAGCGTTCTAATAAAAGGTACTACCACGGAAGTATCGCCTCCCTCATCTGGTTTAGCGAAAAGTCAGTTTTATTAGCACAGCGTGAGATGTACACACAATAAAATACTGCATAGATAACAGTGGCCTAAATGTTTATAATGAACAATTACATATGCTAGAGAGAAAGCTTTTAACGACATACCGATGGCGCCTTGCAGTTCCCCGAGAAGCTTGGCACCTTAGAATAAAATAGGCAAAGTGAAAGAGTTTACAATTGTGCGTTTTCCAAAAAGACACGATACGTTGTATCGTAAGTCTAACTGCAGGCAACAGTTGCACGCGGTGGTGCCTATAAACCAGGGCAATGGCACTCGTCGTTTTTGGGCATTTTTCTATCGAAGCCAATCACGCTCGGTGACTATGGCGTGATCCGGCGGGTCTTTTTTTTTATTTTGTGCCTGTTTGGTTTAGCCGGCGATGGGAAACGCACGAAGACGACGAACACTGTGACGACGCAGTGTCGCTGCTGCTTGCAGAGCTCTATCGGATCGCAGCATCGGCTGCATTCGAACGTAACATGAAATAGAGTACAGTGTAAAGCTATCTCTCGAAAATATGCGGAGAATCTGGTTTCAAGCCACGTCTAGGAGGAACAACACACGAGGATGTAGCTGCATTGGGTCTCATTCGGTGTATTTCGTCGCTTTCGCAAATACGATTTCGATGGTTACGCATATGCTATCTCAACGGCATAAATCGGGACAATAGACACACGTTGTAAATTTTCTTGGTCGATTAGATGAATTAAGAGATGTTAATACTTAAGTTAGCAGGGTCGGGCGCGACTGTTAAAGCACAATATCTGGTTAAAGATTTTTTTTTTTTATTGCGTTGTTGGGGTAGCTTTTTGCGTTCCTTTCAGCGTCATGAACTTCGTTATCGGGGGACTGCGAAATCATCATCTCATGCAAAATGGACGTTTTTTCGGTAAGCTTCTGCGCGTGCGTACAGCCTCTCTGGTCTTGCTTCCCGTTGTCCCCATCTTTGGAGGGTACCGTTCCGCACCAACATAATGAGCACCTAACTTCGTTCTGTCCTTTTTTTTTTATTATTCCTCTGTTTCGGGTTTACTTATTATTGCATTTAGCCAATTATTGCATTATACATTAAGTTTAGCCTAGAAAAATTCGGCCGGTATAAGTAAAAGTAAAGTTAATGATGGTATTCTAGCACAGGAAAGAAAACTAATAAGAATGGTAGGACTAGCGATGACAATACGCGATGCACATGACACCAGGACACTACGCACGCTATACTACATGAGAACGTAAAGTTCTTTTAGCACAGTTTTGCAGCCCTGAAACAGTGGACAGTGGAATTGAGATGCCTGTGGTTACAATGTTCTCTAAATATGGCCCGCAACTTTCATCGCGGCAAGAATCAGCACGGATACGTATTGTTTGGTGAGCGTCACGACGCCATTTCTTTACACGCGCTCATTTTTGCGCCAGTAGTAGCGAGCCTGCGGGCCGAGGGTCACTGCAAGCACCACGGCCAGCCGTGGGCATGTGGAAGGGCCTCCACGATGTGGTTCTAGCGCGCGGGCCGTGGTTGCATGACCCCTGTTTAGACCACATTGAGGACTTCTTATGAAAATTTACGTTGAAATTTGCACCTTTTGGAGATTTCTCTTGTATTCAGAAGCGTTTGTTTCTTGGCAAGCCAATCTTATTTGACTGAAACGCCATTACTCTTGTTGAATAGGTATTTGCTTAAGTTTTCATTTGATATATACTTTGTGTAATAAAACTGAATGTAATCATCATTCAAACCTGGCAATTTTTTTTACGAACATAAATAACTAAACTTTTTTGCGTTTTCAATGTAGTTTCAGAAGCCGTTTAAAAGTATCTTTGTTGTGCAGAAGGTATTTGATCCTAACAAAGCTCCCAAAATATGCAATTTTATTACACAAAACAATAACAAAAACAAAAAGGACACAAAGCGATAGAGGGCTAGGGACAAAACAGGACCTAGCCGTCTATCGCTTTGTTTTTTTTTTTATGTTCGTCTGAGTGTTTTGAATTTTGAGGGTTTTGTCCACGGTCCTGGTGGTTTGTTCGGGGAAAAAAGGCCGGGCTCTATTTTTTTCTGGATGTTTGGATGTAACAGGGTTGGGCAGTATCGGTATACAAATGAATCGTGATAGTATCTTAGAGATACTTTCAAATATCCTTTCTCTGCATTGTGATACATTTGAAAATGTATTTCTATCTGAGTAGTGAATACATTTACAATGTATCGCTTATATCGCGATACCTAGCCAGACTTAGGTATCTCGTTACATTTGTAGCCTTTTATAAATAAATTTAAGAGATAAAAACAACTGTCTAGTGCAAGTTGCTTCGGAAGTCACAATGCGAACCCGCCCTACTACATAATTCATCTCAGTCACCGACATAAAAAAAACTCGTTTAAAAGGGTTACTTGCAAGAATAACAAAAGCAGTTCCTCTCACAAAGCCTTCCTTTCTTTCCAATTTAGTTTAAGGAAAGCTGTAAAGGAGTTTAGTGGGGAAAACATATGGCCCTGTTGTCCAAACTCCCTAAACTATGTGTGATTCAGAAACATATAATACGCCAGTCTGAGATGCGCCCTCACAGCAAAACGGGGTTTATTTCAGGCAGAGCCTTTTGTCAAGCATGGCGCACAGTCTTTACCGTTCTTTGACTATGTGGTTTAACGGGGGGACATGCGTTTTCTTCGCGGCATTAATGATAAATAAAAAAGTTCGAAGTAAGGGCCAGTGCATCAAATGGCACAAAAAAACGGAGCACAGCTTACAAGCATAAATTTCCATTCGAATTCGCCCCGAACTACATCCTCCCCAAGTAGCAAAGCTCGGGAACAGATGTATTTCTACGAGTATCTGTTCCTGTATTCCGGAATACTTTTTCGCCGTTTTTGCAGAAGTGTCTCAGAGATATCCTTTTGCATAGAAGAAAAATGTATCTCAGTATCTGTATTTTAGGCTTTAAAATACATGTACCTCATTACTTTTATTTTTGGCTCTAAAATGCATGTATCTCAGTATTGCTATTTCCGAATACTTTTTGGAGTATCTTTTCCCAGCCATGGGATGAAATGATTCGGGTTCAACACCCAACCACCTTCGGCTTTATGCCGAGAGAGGTTGGGTTGGGTTCTTTGGTTTTTGTAAAGAGTATCCTCACTTCTCTTTTCTATTGGTTTGGGGGGGCAGTAAACATTATATAAACACGAACTTCTGGGGAATAAAATTTGGCTGTGTTTCAGACTTTGTGCGCTGTAATCTCCTTCGTCTTTTCTCCAGTCCCAGGGTTTTGTCCTAAAGTATGTGAAACCTTCACCAGCTCGTTTGCGCCGTAACTTTTTTTCATGGTATATCGGCTTACCGGTTTGTTTCACGCGGCCTTGGAAAGTTTCGGCTTCTGTAAAAAAGACATGCTTTTGATGAGGGCTGGCCGTCTATTTTTCTTTGACTATAGTGAATAGGTCCGCAAGCCTAAAACGACACAAATATTACAATAAGGCATAGTATTTTGATATATTTCATTTTAACCTAGTCACAACGGAAATATTCGTCCCGAAATGTACACTCTAGCACAATGGTATGGATGGCTATTCGTTGAGCATAATTACTATTTTGCTCACTTTTTAGCTCTTTCCACTTTTACGTTGCTAGATGCCTTACTGTTGCTAGCATGGGCAAGGGTATTCGAATATACGTACGATGTTTCTAATATTTTTAAGCACTCAAATGAATCATAGAAATAAGAGAAGCGGTATGAGCAAGTTGGTAAACTTTCAGTATCTTCAAAGTCCCAGATTTAGGAACAAGAGGTGGACGATGCACGGACAGGTTTTAAAAGCAATTAGAGCTGCATACGTTCAGACGTGTGTGCGGGGTGTCTCCTTTTCTTTCCTCGGACTCGGGTTTTTAAGGTGCCTAAATTAGGTATATTTCTGATGACGACTTATTGCATTTTTGTCCAGCTGGGTACATCGTGCCCAATTTTGAATTGTTAGGAGATGCAAACAAACACGATAAAACATCGAGTACTGCTGAAATATTTAAGCAATGCACCTAACACACATTGGTACCAACGCTAAAAAATTTAAAATATTGTGTTTCTTGAGGGTCGTATTATTGCGTAGCCACGCTTCAAGTTCTTAAAAAGAGAGGCTACGGCAGTTGATGGATGAACGGCGGAACAAAGTAAACTTGGAATGATCAAAGTGCCGCGCCATTAGCGCGAACTTGTCCCGTCAACGAAAGTCTGCTGCGTCGTGCTTCAAAGTGTCCTTTTTGATAAGAATCGCACCACATATGCGACGAGATGAACGTAGGTGTGGCGCAAAGCAGCCAAAACAATTTTGATCGACCCTAATTTTTAAAGGAGTAGGTGGAAAAGAAAATGACCGAAATATGTACTTCAGAATATCTCTACTCACCGTATAGTTCGTTCCATCTTGGGTCAGAGCCTAATCGAAGGCTAGAATACATAGAATCGCGAACACAAATACTAAAATCGCAAGTCACGGCACATTGGATGTACTTGATTGGTTCAGATGATGTTATATTTGGACGCTGTTTGATTAATCGCATTGACTTTTAGTGTCGGCTGCGCCTCAACTTTAGGTGCAAAGATATATAGAGTAGAAAGGTATGCACATGGGCTAGTTGGTGGTTCGTGGTTCAGAGGGTAAAAGCGCTAAAAAACAACGGACATGTGAAAAATACAGACACCAGAGAACGCTATTCAGATTTATAGAGACCGCTTGTTAGCTGCGCTCGCCGGTTGATCCGATGCCGGGTCGGTCGCCGATATCGTCTAAATATCCAGACGAGGTCGTCGATATCAGGAGCTAAAAGTCACAAGGAAACAGTGCGAAATGGTAGGATGGCGGCTTCTCTGATAAGACAAAAACAGGGCCTTGTACTTCCGATGAGCTCACTCCAATATTGGCACGCGCGTCGGCGAGCGAGCGCGTGCGAGTCCGAGTGGTTACCGCGCTTTTCTTTCGTTCGAATGCCCAAGGTTCGATTCCTGGGAATTGCCCGTCTTTTATTTATTCTTTCAGTTTAATGTTCTGGTAAATTCTAGAACCCTGTTGCTTGTTCGAGGTGTGATTGTTTTACGCGCCGAACTTTCTACGTCGATTGTCCCAGAACCAACGCGGCTACATAAGGGGCTCCACGTGGCGGGCCGCAGTCAGTCTTGCCCCAGCGTTCGATCCTTCTGTTTCACAGTCATCGACGCCTGCGACCCTAGCCTCTGTCTGTTTTGTTTTGGGCAGAATTTTGCCCCATTAAGCGTTTAGTTTGCTTCAGGTTTCATTGCATCATCAATTGTCATTTGTGACAATATCTTGTCTGTCTGCCGCAAGCCTCATGCCGCACCTTCCCGCTTCTCGCCAGAGCGGGCGTCGAGCTTCACCGCTCTGCCCCGGAATGCTAGGAGCAGTGGTGGACGTGGGCGAGCATCTGAGTTAGCGGGATACGCGCCGAAATTACGCTCAGCACTATTCCTGGTCTGCCTTCTTTGGTCTGGATTGTAAGGTGATCTCTAGTCTTAAAAAAGCTGCGCCAAGGGGAACAACAACAACAAACAAACGTGCGCTTATATTTGAAGACATTCGGTATGCAGCTGTGAATCGAGAGAGCAAGAAACTTTAATTTGTCTCTGACTCCGACACCGCTAAAGAACAGAGTCACTTTTAAGACACAAGTGTAGGTTTTCATAATATTTGAGGGTGGTTGTTTTTGTGGTGTGTAGTATTAGTGGAGTTAGGCAAAATACAACGTGTGTGTGTGTAGGGGGGCACCTTTTTTGACAGGCTCATTTTGCGGAGACGCTGGTGTTTGCAGGCATTTTAGGGAAATCACATTTACAGGCCAAATTAACTACTGGGCGTAGTGTGAGACGCTTTATGCCAACTGAAGTGCCTCGCTATGAATCATTTCTCATGCGTTTTTTGAGTACCCATGGTAAATATGGAACCTACTGTGACCAGAGCCTTCTTTCTAGGAAGGAGGCTCTGCATTGCGTTCTCTCCCTAGCTAATATTAGAAAAGGTAATAAATAATATTTCCCAGTGACCGCCTAATCATTAAAAGAAAAAAATTAAGTCATTTAGCGATGCAATACCGTTTCATTAATCAAGTGATGTTCTAAACGATTTGGCACATGTTCCAAAAGTGTCACGGGCTTCTTTAAACCAACATTTTGCCTGCTACAGAGCCTGCTACAAAGGGTGAAATGCCGCTTCCATCAATGAACTTGACATAAGGTGATGTGATGCTTGACATTTTTGAAGCCCCTTTTTAGGTCTGGTCAATAGAACATAGCTATGCAATAGCCTTCTGTGGTTGATCCGATCTTTATTCTTCATAATAGTTCAAAAGAGTCATAGAAAATGTCACTCACCTTGTTTGAAAATATTTTTGATCTTATCATAGGGCTTCTCTGAAATAATAGAGACATAATGTGTTAGAACGTTATCTTGAAAATGTTGGTCAGCAAGGGGCAATATTCAAGAAGTGTTCGAACCATTGACATAACACAGGACATAATTAAAATGATGAGGGGTTTATGAAGAAGCCAAAACATTTTCTTACATATATCTACCTAGAGGGACCAGACAAGTAACGAGAATGTTTCACTTCTTTCAGGGATGAAGTTAAAATTTCAGACTACTGTGTTAGAAATACTTCAGGTGACGTAATGCTCAGCATCCGCCGAAGGCCATCGCGTCGAAGATCGGCACGCGATGTTTTCTCCGGCCGCCATGTCGCGCTTCCAACGCCAAAGCCATCCTCTCGTGTGCCGCAGAGGGCGGTAGCGTGCACCGGGCTGCAACGCTGCACAGTTTTCCGCGGTTATCGCTTGTTTACTGACCAGTTTCGTCTTCCAGAAGTATCCGGAAATGGGGAAGGAGTGCTTTGGGTGCCACAGTGCAAGATGAGCTAGAAGAAGTGCGCGGAGAAGCTGTTCCCATTTGCTACTCCCAAAGATGAGGACCATCTAAAGCTATGACGCGACACAATCCCGCAAAAGGACTAAGTGCTGCATCCCACAGCCTTCGTCTGCGAGAGACATTTTTATTCAAGTTTCGCGAGCAAATCGTCGAAAGCCGTCAACAGGAGACACGTCCTCGTAAGTGTCACAGGGAAAGCTACCCTGATGAAAGACGCGGGGCTAATAACGTTTCTGGGATACTCCTGCTAAGTGACGAAAAACGAGAAGAACAGAAAATGACTGGTGGATTGCCAGTGCTCTCTTTGCAGCGAGCGGTACCGTGCCGCAGACGAGTGCTCAGGGAACAGTGAAAGGAACACTGACACCCTCATTTCTTTTCTTGCCAGGCGACTTGTAATGTTGTCAGAAGGTTACCCAATTAATATGTTGCTACAGTTTCACGTATATGTTCAATAAAGTCAAATAACGAAACTGCTCGAAAAAATACCGAAGCTAGACTGGGGAGGAAGAAGAAATAGAGGAGGAGAAAGATACCGGAAATCACGTGCATGTGCAACTTACTTTTCTTTTTTTCAATCAACTTATTTGTAGCTTTTTACAAGGCACAAAAATGAAATACATTCACAAATGGAAAGAACGATGTGACTATAGGTTTTATGATGTCGTGTTGTCGATGTTGCCAAAAATTATTAGGAGTATATGGTGACTATGTGGGAAAATGACAAAGTTTTAGCTTATAGTTACACATACGTGTTTTGTAAATAAAATAGGAGATCTCGAACATTATTAAAATTAGCGAACAACATTAGGAAACTGTTCAAGAAAACAGAAGACAAAAAAGACGCTGACATTCACAACTCAATATATATTCCAAAGAGTAAAATAAAGAAAATGACACAGAATATAAAGACCCCCTGCTAATAGCTAGCGAAATCTGGAACGCGACGCGATAGCTTTAGACCTTTAACGTTTTAAAAAGGATATTTTCTTTTGTGATAAAGCCACGGATGGCTGACTGACATAGCCCGCCCCCAAACCATGTATATTAAGCGCCTCATAAATTTGTTTTAATTTTTGCCCGATATCTACCTATAATATTAGTGTTAGCCAGAGTTGGACTACATTAACAATTACGGCAGCGTAAAGGCAAGTGACCAGCTACGTTGGATTTAAGTGATAGGTAATGTTCACAAAGCTTGTCGTTAATATACCGTCCAGTCTGTCCGACATAAGTTCTACCACATGACAACCTAATGCTGTACACCACACACGAGGTACAGGGCATAAACGATGAGACATTTTTTGTTGCACATATGTTTGGACGTCTGGAAAAATGAAAGCCGTTTACAACTCCCTGTAACACCGAATTGGAGCGCAGCTCTTGAGGAGGAGGAGGGAAGGGTACTGAGGGTGACGTGTTCTCGGGGCGGGGGGGGGGGGGGGGAGGGTGTCGCGTGACTTTGGGGGGGGGGGGGGGTCACGTGACCCCCCAGGAAAATTTTTCCGCTAGGTTTAGCAGGGTATTTTTTCCGCTATATCTAGCGGGGAAACTTTTCCGCTAGATTTAGCGCGGAATTTTTTCCGCTAGATTTAGTGGGGAATTTCTTCCGCTAGATTTAGGGGGAAAATTTTTCAGCTAGATTTAGCGGGCAAATTTTTCCGCTAGATTTAGCGGGGAAATTTTACCGCTAGATTTAGCGGGGAATTTTTCCCGCTTGATTTAGCGGGAAAATGTTTCCGCTACATTTAGCGGGAAATGTTTTCCGCTAGATTTAGCGGAGAAATTTTTCCGCTAGATTTAGCGGGGAAAATGTTCCGCTAGGTTTAGCGAAGAATTTTTCCCGCTAGATTTAGCGGGGAAATTTTTCCGCTAGCTGGGAATTTTTTCCGCTAAATCAGCGGGGAAATTTTTCCGCTAGATTTAGCGGGAAATTTTTCAGCTAGATTTAGCTGAGAAAATTTTCCGCTAGATTTAGCGGGGAATTTTTCCCCGAACTAACGGGGAAAAATTTTTCCCGCTAGATTTAGCGGGGAAATTTTTCCGCTAGCTGGGAATTTTTTCCGCTAAATCAGCGGGGAAATTTTTCCGCTAGATTTAGCGGTGAATTTTTTTCCGCTAAATCTAGCGGGGAAATTTTTCCGCTAGATTTAGCGGGGAAATCTTTCCGCTAGATTTAGCGGGGAAATTTTTCCGCTAGATTTAGCGGGAAAATTTTTGCGCTAGATTTAGCGGAGAATTTTTTCCGCTAAATCTAGCGGGGAAAATTTCACGTTATTTAGCGGGGAAATTTTTCCGCTAGATTTAGCGGGGAAATTTTTCCGCTAGATTTAGCGGGGAATATTTTTTGCTATTAGTGGGGAAGTTTTTCCGCTAGATTTAGCGGAGAACTTTTTCCGTTAGATTTAGCGGGGAAATTTACCCACAATGCAGCGCGCGGTTACGCCGACGCCGAAGGCGACGCCGACGCCGACGCCGACGCCGACGCCGACGCCGCTCAAGCCGGAAACGGGCCCCTAAGAGCTGCGCTCTAAAAGGTGGTATAATATTTATTTTCTATTGTTAATATTGTGTGTGTGCCTTCGCTGACACACGATTATGATTATCTTTGGTGGTTGTGTCTAAACCATAGAAAGCGTCACGTGATCACGGAGAAGAGGGTGAGCGCGACTCAAACCGGCCTGTTCTCGATAGTCGGTTTTCGGGCGGAAAGAGAATTAATTTCGAGCAGCCGATT